ATTGTGACGTTATCTAAATATCTACTTGGACCTTTTTGTATTATTAATAACATGCAAAGATGATATAATAGGTACATACAAAAGTAACTGCAACTTAAACAGCCTAAAATCTAAATATTAGGGGGTTCTGGGAGCAACTGCAGCATGAACATGGACCAGACGGGTCAGGTCCTGTCCAGTCCCAGAGCCCTTGCATGTGTGGTGCCGGCCAGTCCATGGCATAGGTTGTCTTTTTAAGAAAGAGCCGTTACTTAGTCTCTTTGGATATCTCCTGCCTGCTGCTTGACGCGTCGGAGGAGGAGAATGACGGCGCATTCAGGTTACCTTCCGATTTATACACAGAAGTAATTATTACATTAGATGCATTGATCCTAAATAGGTTCTTGGTCCATTTGTGACTTTAGAAAGATATTTTAGGGCAACTTAAAGAATGAATGAATGAATGTTTGTATGTATGTTAGTTACATTTCTAGAGCATTTTTCAATGACAACCCAAAGCGCTTTGCAGAACCAATCGGGAGCCGTTTCTACCACCGCCGCTGTGAAGCACCCACCTAGTTGATGTGATTGGGGTCTTTCTTTGCCAGTATCCTCATCACACAGTAGCTAAGGTGGTGAAGGGGCAGGACAGAATTCACCAGTTAGATATAGGGGATGATTAGGAGATGGCCAGATCTGATAGCGATTTTCCCAGAAGTAACATACAAATGGGTAAAATGACAATGGCATGCTCTGCATGAATGATGGCATCTGGTTAACTAATGAATAAGTGGCGGACAGACATGTATTTAGTGTCTGCTGGTTTACCCTGAGGGGAAATGCAGATGCTGATCCTGCCACCCTGCAGCCAGAGGTGTTTCTCCAGAGCCCATTAATTGCTTTAGAGGCACAATGTCACGTGTGATGGGATTCCACCTATCGGCCACCCCGCCCTCTCGTCTCGCTGAGCACTTCACCAGCTGCACCGTCTTTTGGAAGCTCCTCAGTGTGAGAGGACATGTGGATATACCAAGTCAGGGTTAAAAAAAAATCCGGCTGGACAGGGTGTGGGTAGGGCAGGACAGTCTCGCATAGCTAAGCAGCAGAAATGTTCTAGTTCAGCCATCAGAAAATGTGACCCAGTAGAGCCACACACCCTGCCTTAAGTGTCGGGATGTTGATTCAGAGACTCCTTCTGTGGAGGTCACAGTGTCATCAGTCTGTGGTGTGGAGTTCCTCACCCCATTGCTGTCAGAAGCGGCACCTGCGCCCCTGCTTCAGTTTCCAGAGCACAGCGGGTGACCCGGAGCAGGGGATGAGTAGGATGCCGACATGTATATGTAGCAAAGGGCTGGCGAGTGTGACATTTTCCAGTGGGCAGCCTCTGGGAGAGGGTGGGCTGCCTCTTGGGGTTTCCTCTTTCGTGCTGTGGAGCAGATGATTCAGAGCCGGCTGCAAGGCCACCCCCTGGAGGCTGTGGCAGCGAGTCATAGGTCCGCCAGCTGCCCGTGCCCGTCAGTGTGGGCAGTAGGAAGGTGTTTGGCAGCCTGGCCTGAGAATGGCGCTCCCTACAGCTGGCTTTTGCCACTGCGCCATGTCAGCCACACTGTCCTGGCAGTGGGTGCCATTTCCTGAACCCGGAACTGAACCTCCTTCGTGGACATCATCCCACCTCACCCTGTCAAGAGTGACTTTCTGCCTCTTCTGCCAGATGTTCTTCATATTAGACATCTCATTCTTTAAGGAATAAAATGAAATTCTACTCCATGTGATTCTGGTTTTAACTGGAAAACCTGTCAGTAGACCGCTCAGCTCTTGATTAGGTCATCTTATAGGTGATTAAAACGAAGAAATTTATCATGGTTGTGGTGATCTTCCAGGTTGAAGATGTCGTACAGCATAAGAAAAATATGCTATATGTTATTTTATGGATTTATTCTTCGTAGTAATTGATACCGCCATTTTGTTTAGTCAGTTGGGACACTAATAAAATTGCAGCTGATATTTTAGGGGGAATTGGCTGTCTGGGTGAGTTTCCCAGTGAGGGCTGCTCTTCTCCCAGCTGATCTTCTGCTAGGTTTGATTGACCCCAAGCTTGAAAAGGAGCAGACTTCAGCCCCGCAGGAGAGGATGCCGCTGCAAAGGCTGCTTTGGTCGATATGAGGAATCTGAAAAAAAATTGTTGCCATGGGTGAAAGTGAATTTGTGCATAAATAAAAGATGAGATCGGTTGACTAGGTGCCTGGACATGCAGGATGTGAGCAGGAAGGTTTCTTTTATGAAATGTGAAACAGGGCATAGTCTTTCAGGAAGCCTTACCATGAGCGAACATGAGGAACATGCAGCACGCAATCTGCTTGTGGATTCTTGCGTTCTTCCACATGGGCGAGAGCAGCAGTCGCTTGCCATCCAAAAGTGAATCAGCCGAGTGTCGTCGGGAACTAGATTGGTGTGGAATTAAAACTGAATCCTTGTGATAATGCCCCACACTCTCAAACTGGGCAACAGGTTACGCATAGCACCTGGGGGGCGGGGGGGGGCGGCACTCAAGCCTCAACAAGATGCAGTGTGTGCGCTCCAGGGCAAGCAGGTAAAGTTCTACCCCCAGAGCCAGAAGATCTGGTTGCTCCAGTGGCACCTGAGATGGTTTCCCGGTGCCCAGTCCACCATGCTGCCAGTCCTTCCAGCAAATCCATATCAGATTTGTCTTTCCTCCAACCAAAAGCCAGCATTTCATTTTTCCCTGCTAACTGCACCACCTCCATTCCTCAGCAGGATAAAGAGGTGGGGGTCACTCCCAAACAAAGCCCCACACTGTGAGAACAACCCCATCAGTCCCTCTCAGTAGGAGAAAGGCTAAATGCATTGAGTGATGGTCTACCTCTGTGGTGTATTAGGTCCTAATTGCTGCTGTTTATGTTTGGATCTCCAAAAAGGGCAGGAATAATGGAGTGTTGGTGGCATCTTGGTGTTCTGTGACAGCTAACAGCACTGGGACTCTCTGTCCCCCAACTGGAACATGGTGCTGGGTGGGGGGTCTCAGCAGGGCTTTCCCCTGATGGAGCAGCACAGCCCTTATCCCGCTCCTCCCCAGCTTTCCTCCTCATTTCCCGTTCATTCTCTGTTCCCTTGGTTTGGCCCTGGTTCTGGCATGTGGGTGAAGGCCAGCTTGTTTCCTCAGGTGTCCCTGACGATGCCTGGTGTTGGATTCCGCGGCTCCCATTGCAAACCGCGGATTAGCTTTTAGCATGAGCCATTTTACTCCAGCAGGAAACAGTGACTTACTCTTCACAGGATAATACACAGTAGCTGGCCAGGCTTTTGCTCCCCCTGCTTTTTATTGTCTCTGGAGCCCCAGGACTTTTATGTCGCCTGGCTGTGAGGAAACCATGAGGCAGTGGAGTCGGGCCCCTGGGTGGCACCTTAAAAAGACCAGATCTCTGCGACACGTCAGTCTTACCCCTTGGCGGCCTCTCGGTACATTAATGGGATTTTCCCAGCAGATTAGTACATTTTACTGGTGATTATGTCTACGTGCAAGTTCTGGAGGTTAATCTTTCAGGTCGGTATAGAAGCATTTAGCTCAATGGCATCTATAGCCATACTGGATACTGAGCAAATGACACCTTAATAGAAGGACAGTTTAATGGAGAAATTGGTGTCCACCTGCCCAGTTGCTTTGGGCTCTTTGCCTGTCTTGTGTGGATCCTGTAGGACACTGACGGGCGGAGATTGTGACCTTGTTCCTCATGGGAAGGGAAGGTCCAAGTCAACCTGCTGTCAGTCAGAATGAGGGTTTGGGGCTCGTCAGAGAAGCTGTTCATACACACCGTGCCGCACGTTACCACCGGTGTCACAGACTAAACCTGCATCTGCGTAGGTATGAAAAACTGGTCATGTGAGTTCACTGCAGAACAAAGACGCTCAACAAAAACCCCAAAGTTGACTTTAACCCCCGTGTTGTGATATGTGACATTTTGTCAAGTTGCTCGGAGGTACTTCCTGAAAGGCGTGACGATAAACCGGAGAGAGGAGTCACAGTGGTTTAGTCAGGAATTCATGGCTTTTTGAAAGGTACATTGCACATTTTATTATTAACTGTATTTGTGGAGGCGGTAACATTATACCCCCTTATTAGGTGAAAAGCTTAAAGATGCAGCCACAGACTAGCAGCTGATCTTGTTTTTAGTTTAAGTGAATGACGACATTTATATTTGTAGTGCTTTGACTTTGGCTCCAAAGCAGACGACTGTTTATGATTATCCTGGTGTCCTGTAAATGACCCCCACCCCTCCAATGTCCTCCAAATACTGGTTGGTTGTAGGTCCTTGCAGCATAGTAACATCGTGGGTGTGGGGGGTCACATCAATGACTTCATGATGGTTTCTTTTGGCCTTCATCTGCTTCCATGTAAACAATTTTGTGCACAGTGCCCCCTGTGTTGTACACCAGACCGAAGGAGAAAGGGATAATTTGGACACTTCCTTGTCAGAGGTGAGACGTCCCTAAGAATGGTCATAATTATAGTGTGTGAGGAAAACCGGGAAAAAAAAAAACCTAAAAATGGTCTGAGGTTACGAGTGGCTTAAAAAAGCTGTGGACGAGAAGGGACAGATTATATGATTTGCCAATGGCTAACCAGAGTGGGGGGCGGGTGGTGTTTATGTGGGGGGGCAGTGGCCTGTGAAGTGTTGATGGTCGGAGGTACTGCAGCAGAACACCGTGGTCACGCCGTAGCCCATAAGCACGTGTTGAGGTTTGGTTTGTCTGTGTATGTTTACCAAACCATGAACACTGTTTCCTGCTGCTCCCAGTTTGGCCTTCGTGCTTACAAATGCCACCTTGTTTGTTTTCTCAGCCTATTCCGCAGAAATTTAAAAAATAAAAATGTCTACGGGTCTTTTGGGGGAAAAGTGCTCACCTTAGGACCCTGACCTCCGGAACGGCTTTGCCAGTCAGCAGGATGCGTGTGTTTTGTATGCGTCTCCTAATAAGGCTCTTCCACTCCCTGCCCCCACCAGACCTGAGGGCCACAGGGTCGGCCCAGCACTTCACCTACCTGCTCAACAGCACCGACTACCGCATCCTGCGCATGGACGAGGACCACGACCGCATGTACGTGGGCAGCAAGGACTTCATCCTGTCCCTGGACCTACACGACATCAACAAGGAGCCTCTCATTGTAAGACCCCCGCCCCTGTAAAACTGCCTTCCGGTCATCCCCTCCCTCAGCCACTCACACCCCGTGTCTAGGTGCCATCTGGATGCACCCATATTCATCTTATACTGGAGCTCGTTCATTCTCTGCAAATTTTGTAGAGAAACACCGTAAGTAGGTCATTTGGGAGTACTACTCATCTGGGCAGAGTCCTCCGCGTGGGTCCGAAAAGTATAAAACAAATTGATGTGGATTGGAGGCTGTGGTGAGTTATGTTATTGCTATAAAATGCCATTTCTTTCCCTTCAGATGCACTGGCCCGTGTCCCAGCAGAGGAAGACAGAGTGTGTTCTGTCTGGGAAAGACACCAACGTGAGTACTTCCCTCAGCCTGCGCTCTCTCTGGATGTTTATTCCTTGGGATTTGTGGGTTTCGTGTTGGAAGATCCCAGGCGACAACATGGAGACCTATGTGATTCCCGTGTTTCTTCCCAGGGATGGACCTCAAACACTGAGGGCCTTTTTTTTTTTTTGCCCAAAGCTGTATAATGTTTCCAATTTTTTTTTCAACTCAATATGTGATTAGGAGCATGTGGCTTGTTTGGAGAGAGACCAACAGCCCACTGCCCCCCCCCTCCCCCTCAGACACACACACACACACACACACACACACACTGAGACCTGCACTAACACACACACACACACCCTGAGACACACACACGCGCCGACACTCTGACACACACACACACATTTTGGCACTCTGGCTTTGCGGAGCGTGCGATACTTGCCAGCGCAATATGTTTGAATGACCCCCTACAAGGGGAACCGTGAGGAGGGGCTTTTTGTGGCTGAAAAATAAACAGGAAGGACATGGGGGACCCCCTCGCAAAGATGGTGACACAGCATAGAAAGAGATTAAAATGGGCCCTTGAAGGGGGCCTGGCTTCTTGCTGTCCGGATAAAGCGGCAGACAAACTGGAGATCTGTCCTTCTACACCCATTATCGCCGCCTCCAGCACTCTCTGCAGTCTTCGTAATGGATTTACACAAATCTGTGTGGCCATTATCGCGGAGAAAGGGAAGGCTTTGCCAGAGCCCTCTCAGCTGTGTCGCTGACTTAGAGGCTATCTTGGACCGGACTCCGTGTTAGCGAGACTCTCACAGCCCCGTCACCGAGGATAATCGGCGCGGAGCAGGCCGAGGTGACGTGTCAGCCTGCCTCAGTGCCACCGCGAGGCAGGAACGCCGTGCGGTAGCCAAATACCCTGAGACGCCCATTAAAAATCTGATCCGTATAGCGGTGACAGTGTTCTGGGAAAACCCGTGTCAGTGTGGGGAGCCGGCGACATGCAGAAAAGGCACGGAAAGGTGAAGCGCGTAACCTTCGGGATAGAAAATGCAACACAAAGGCTCATTGGCTGCCCTCGGTGTGGAAATGCAATGGAACTGGTGTGGGTTACGCTATAAGCCTCATTTGGGGGGGCCTTAGGCAAAGGTGCGGGGGGGGATTGGTGCAGGATGTGGCTTGGCTCATTGGAGGGGTGCAGTTCTGGGTAGTTGTTCTAAGCTTTTCACTTTTGCTTGGCAGGTGTAGCACTGACGGTTAGCCGTGCTGATTGGACAATACATCCATTGCTGGGGGGGGGGTCGGTCTTTTGCTTGGTGAGGCCAAAGCAGCTGGAAGGTTAAGCCAGTGGTTGTGGTAACCATGACAACCTCCCAGGCTCCTCAGGGAATTATGATAAACCACAAATTAGCATTTCATACAGAAAAGAATGCTTATCAATAGAGGCGATGTGTGTTAGCGCGGGGGGGGGGGGGGTAAATTAAACTGGGGTTTGTTCCTAGCCTTACAGGCCCCTGTTTTCACTGGATTCATTTACACTTCGCACTTTGACAGTCACGTTGGAAGGAAGCATAGCTGAAGCGTGGATTTGCGTACATGTCGACCGAAGGTTGCAAAGCCCATTCGCTTGGTTTCTGCATGGGACGTGAGTCACATTCCTTTAGCCAGACAGCATCACCAGCTAACACTGGCGCTTTAAAGCAAACGGTCCCATATGTTCCACCCTCGGCTTTTTACTGGAAGATCTGCCGTTAATTATGATGGAAAATGGGCTGGAGTGTAATAATGTATGTATGTCTGTTTAACAGGTGTCATCAGTCTTGTGATTATGGATATTGCTGTGTTGAGAGGAGGTGCCTCGTTTTTAACATTTCAGTGTTTCAGGGTTTGCTAATTCTGATCTAACGTTACCATAAAGGACTCCTTAGGGTCTCTCATTTCTGTTCAGTCACTTCAATGCTTGTTTCTGGATGCCCATTTTCTGTGGGATAGCAAAGAAGCCCCCCCTTTTTAAAAGGGGGGATTATATTATGAAGCAAAGGCAGAACGACCCAAGATGGCACCGTTAGGTTGGATGGGGGCCATGCTGTGTGTGTGTGACTTGTACTGCAGGCAGGTGTTTTATGCTGCATGAATATAATTCTGTATTTCTTGTGAACAGGCTCCCTTACAGGAGCGTCTGATATTCTGCTTTTTAACCTGTTCACAGGGGGAATGTGGCAACTTCATACGTCTGATTGAGCCCTGGAATCGCACCCACCTCTACGTGTGTGGTACCGGGGCCTACAATCCTGTGTGCACCTATGTCAGCCGAGGACACAAGCCTCAGGTAAGCCACGGCTACAGGTCTTCCATATCATCTGAGGACCGGCCACCTCTCTGCTCTTTTCTAAGTTTTACACAGTTTCTGGGTCAGTTCAGTGCCCCCTTTGCACTGAGGATTAATGAACATAAGGGAATTCTCCGCCTACCATTCATACACCTTCTAACATGGACAAAAACAGGAACAGCAGCAAGAACAATAATAATGCCGCTAAGTATGGATATTGTGAACTCCCCTAGGGCACAGTGTCAGAGTACCCCCTACTGGGCAGGGAGCATAATGCAACCAAACCCAGCCCTCAATGCTTATTAATTTTCAGGTCCCCTGCCACACAGAGACACACACATATTTGTATTCATATCTTTGTGGGGACCGTCCATTCATTTCTGTGGTGGAAAACTCTAATCCCATCAATGACAAACTTAACCCCTACCCAGGCCTAACCTTAACCATATGTGCTTTCACACTGAAGTTCTGGAACCTGGTCCCGGTTTACAAGACCCTGGGCTCTCAACCTGGAACTTTTGTAGCTCCTGGCCACTTTTGTGTGTTGCTTTCATACCACACAACAGGAACTGGGAGCTTCATGATAATTAAGCATGGAAGACACAAAAAGTTTGTAGGTTAAACTTCACATATTTCCAACAAAACTACACTGCCACACCAAGACAATGGAAGATAAATTAGTCATATTGTTAATTGTTTGTTAGTTATTGTGGGCGTCGGTCACGATCAATATGGGACATAGCCTTTTATTTATATTTTAGTTGTATCACCCGAGACATGTTCATGATTCTCATTAAACCTGGTCAGTAGATCAATCTTTCTTTCTCCACGCAATAAAAACAATGTAACTTTATTCCACTAATAAGCACTAGAAAGATTCACTGCCGGCACTAGCAATATTGGAAAAAAGTACATTGGTTAGCGATTGAATTTTCAGCAGAAATATGAACACGCAAGCAAAAAAATATTGATGCATCAAATATAATTGGAGTGTAAAAAAATTTCCATCTGCTATGATATTTTTCTCCACTTCCACATAACTTCCAAGTTAGCAGCGGTGCTTGTGGTCAACCAAGTCAGCAAGTTTATCGCTGTAAACGCCTCCCCAGTAGCTTGTGTTCTAACAAAAAGTACCAAGTCTGGAGTAGGTACGAAAAAAGGGTTCAGGAACTGCCGAGTTCCTGTAGTGTGAAGACAACAAAAGTCCCTGGTTCCAGGAAAAAAGTCCAGGTGGTTTGATGGCGCCTCATAAGTAACCAAACAAAATACAAGACCCTTGCCATTTTTAGTGTTTTGATTGCAGTCACGGATTTTTCTCAAATGAAGGTGGTCCCCACAATGTCAAGTTCCTATAACATTGTGGACACACACACACACGGTCACACGCGCATCCCTGCCAGTACCTTTGGACCTCCTCCAGCTGCCATCTCGGTAGTCCATTGTTGACTCCCCAGTATCCTGAAAAAAAGCATTTATCTGTTTCCAGTATATTCCAGTATGTCAGTGTGTTCCCATGCTCATTAGGTCCCCGATATCAATTATTAAGTCCAGCATAAAGCCTGTGAAGGCCGCTCCATTCTGTGCAGCACCTGCCCCTGTTGTGCATCACGGTGCACCTCCAGGCTCTCATTACGGGCTGACAATCTTCCCCCGCGGTGAATGGATAGCACAGACATCCTGCAGCTGGAATGGAGCCGTGGCAATCTGAAATCATATACCTCCAATGCCGTCCTCTTCCAGACAGGAAGCGGAGTCCACCGGTGCATGAGCTGGACCGCTGCAAGCTGCCAGAGGTTTCAACACTTCTCTGCTGCGTGTGCAGACACACGTACAGACACATACCAGACTCAGTCGTCTCATGCGATACTCCGATGTCGCAGTGTAGACTCCACACTGGAACATGCTTGCCTCTTGTACATCGATCCTACACCCTGTTACAGTGATTCACAGCTTGTTGGCAGTGACAGAGCTAAATTAAGTGTCAGTAATGAACACTCGGCTACCCGGAGCTTGTAGCTGTACAGACTCATGGGTATTTTACGCAGCATATCGCCGGAGGGCCACTCTTCCTCTGCTTTTGCACACTAGCAGAGACCTTGCATGTCCGTGTCGCCCCGCCGCTGTTCTGGCCTCCCCGATCGGCCTTCCTGCGGGGGAGAGCCTTCACACCGGTGACGGCTTGCCAGAGGAGGTCCTGACCCCCAGCATGTGTCATCCTCCTCCTCTTGCAGACCGCCATGCACCTGCAGATGCCCCAAACCAGCGGGAGGGCGAGTCGCGCCGCCGACTTCAGCGCTACCACCCAGCCAATGGGCCTGCAGGTGAGAGGGGCTTTCGGCCGGCGCTCGGCAGCTGGGAGTCAGAAGGACATACATGGGCAGCTAAACAGGCAGCTTTATTTCTGCTCCACTTATTATGAGATGAAAGTTAACTACAAAACAGTTTGTATTTTGTCTCTCTTAGTAAGCAGCGATTTAAATGAGGCATTAATTTTCATAATCAATAATATACCCAATAGTCAACAGTTTTAGCAGATTGATAAACTGTTGGCAAGTCATTTTTGAAGGATGTGGATACATGTGGATGACAATATTATCAACCGCAAAATAAACTCAATGGCCAGCAGAGGTGGAAAGTTCAGGTCCAAAAATCCAGACCAAGATTTTGTTTAAACCAACCAGTTGACTACTCTTTGACTCTTTATACTCAACTGGGTTGAAACAAAATATTGGATTTGTACTTTCTGGACCTGATTTTTCCGCTTTGCTGAGCACTTTATTAGGTACGCCTATCCCTTTCCTGATTGGATGCACTTTTGCCTTCAGAACCTCTTTAATTAAGAGTATTAAGGGCTTGTGGCTTTTCTGTTAGCTTAGAGCCTAGCCATTCTCTAACCTCTCTCATTAAACAAGGTGTTTTCAGATATAATAATGCCCCCTGACCGGATGTTTTTGTTTTTGCCATTCATTGCACCATTTTGTGTAAGCTGTAGACACTGTAGTGCATGAAAATCCCAGAGGGTAGCTGTTTCTGAGATGCTGGAACAACCACGCCTGGCACCACATGACACCACTTTCAGAATCGCTTAGGTCAGGGGTCTTAGCCACTCTGAAGCTCAGTCTAACAGTAAGTGACCCTCTTGACCCTGTCTGTGTGCTGTATGTATTCAGTTACAGCCACATGATTTGCTGTTGGAAGAGCAGGCTGTTTGCATTACAGGGCAGATGAGCTTAATAAATGGGTCGCTGAGAGTAAATATTCATGCTCAAACAAACCTTGTAAAACGTACATCCATATAATCCTTGCAGAAGTATGTGGTGTATGGCTGATTTCTGTTTCATTGAATGAAAGCAGATGAGTGACTGAAACACTGAAGGTTCTTTTCATGCATTTGATATCATTTAAATATTGCAGCAAGTTTGAACTTCTAAAAAATTGGGAGAGTGGAGAAGTTATCCAGCTGACACAGCGAGAAGGGACTTGGCGTACGTCATCATTTTCTGTCTGTTTTACATATTAAGTGGAGTATTTGATATTTTAACAAGGTGGACAGCAGGATATGATAATAAAACTGATGTATTTCAGAGCATAGAGCCCGTGACTGCCTGTCTCTGTGGGGAGAACAGAAACCAGAATAAATCTGACTGTTTACACTGTGGTGTCATTTCATGTGTTCACCCAGTGGTGGCATCATACTGTGGGTCACAGCTCAGACACCTACTCTCTCCTGTGCTGCCTGCGTTTTCCTCCATGTGTTTTGTGTTGATACACCTTGGGGAGGGTTGAACTCTCTTTGACAAGTATCTTATTTCATCTCTTCAGCAAAACATGAGTCCTTGCTGTTCTGCGTTGTCCAAATTTCATCTTTCTCTTGGCATTCAGTTTAATTCCTTGAACCTTAATATCTTTGTCATCATCAGTTTTAATTACGGTTTTGTGGGGTGATCTATGGCATGTGAAACTTGATTTCAGAGTCTGAACGTCTGCATGGAATCTGAATTTGTCCGAGTTTGTCAGTGTTAATTAGTCGAGGTGCAAGAATGGTAACCGTGGTAACAAAAGGAAGCATGTGTTACTTGTATCTGGAATGGAGACCTTAGTGAGTCTCAGCTTTGATGCCACTGTGGCCAAGAAGCTCTGTTGCCATTTACCCAATCCACCAGTGGGTGGAACCTCAAGCAAGGTATCACAATTAAAAGTTTCAGGTCCACTTCTGGTCAACTTAGCGGTTCTGCATCCTAGGAGGACTAAAAAGACATGCTCAAGCATATAGACTAAGAAGACCACATCATACTTAAAACATCTCCATATGCTATTCATTCTGATGAAGCTCATTCCTTGTTACAAACATAAACTGCCATCTTCTACCCACATGTCTTCTGACTATCTCGATATCTTCTGACATCTAAGGTGCCATGGAGCTTGTATATTGTTCTCAACGTTCCATCACCAGCACACATTGACTGATTTTGATTTTTGGTGATTTAGTTGAGACTGAGAATTGAACCTCTAAAAACAATAGGAATGATTGGACAAAAATGGGAACATCTCGCTCTCCCTCTATCTCCGTCTGTCATGCTACTGCGGCTTCCGGCTCTCAGGCTGCTAGACGCTCGGGGTTAGAACAGCTGTCAGTTCATGGAGTGGGCTTGCTGCTCGCCCCTCGTCGAGAGGCCTGCCCAGTGTGGGAATGTCAGGCAGCCACTGGCCTGCCCAGTGTGGGAGTGTCAGGCAGCCACTGGCCTGCCCAGTGTGGGAGTGTCAGGCAGCCACTGGCCTGCCCCGCGTGGGGGTGTCAGGCCTT